AATATTGGAAGCCTATTATAATTCTAGGTATTATCCTCCAGTAATTCTGATTAGAGACATTTTCATTTTATTCCACATTTTAGTCATTTTTAATGGCAACTTATTAATTATCCGATCTTCTTAGTTACCATTTAATATACTCAATTTATTATAGATAGTAATAATAATAATTATAGATATTATTTTAAAATTAAGACAAGCAGCTTGATTATATTAGAGTTCATTGTAATTCTTTTCAGATTTTAGAATGCTAATCAAGGTAAAATTTATATATGCAATTTGTAAGCATAATAAACAAGAAATTATGATCTTCATGGACATTTTGTTACATTTCTTTTGTATACTATACAATAAAATTCTAATATTCCCACAATAAGGTATTGTATTATGACATAGATTTTTCATCTTTTGACACTCAAGCTGAATGATGTATTGTTGATAATCTTTTATGATCCTTGACAGTGTCTTATACATTTTTCTGGAATCGATATTCTCAAGAACGCGAATTCACTCTTTAAGCCTCATTTGCAATGTATAGATAATATACCTTCATAGCAATAACTTGAAGTTTCTTCTATACGAGAACATATCACCTTGTAAAATCACATATGTATTTCACTAAAATATACATATATGTGTTCTAGAACTGTCAAGTCACGTATACATCAGCATTTGACGCTAATTATTTTTAGAAACGACTGGAGCAATTTATTCCACGTTTATCCATAAATTTTATCCGATAGAATATATTTTCGCACGTGACTGCATATGAAAATTAAATAGCATAAATTTGTGTTCGTTTATAGAACAGGAGTCACCTTTGCTCTTAAATTCCAAAGACTCTGAACTAGAAAGTGAATTTAACTTTGAATAATGCATGCATTCCGTGCATGCAACATAACCTAACCTCTGCGGTCGAATAAAGTTATCGATAACGTACCATAGCGAGTAACCTCTTGTTTCATAGCCGTTAATCCACGTATAAGCTTATTGTATCTTATTAAGAAGTAAGACAACGCTATTTTAGCCCATTCACCCAAACCGATCCTACGTGTATGCGAGATATTGCCAAGCTGACCCTATGGTTAGTTTTTGAAATATTGAGGGATTCTTCGAGGTTGTGAAAACTTGTGAACAATATAGGTATTAATACAATAGGGACATGATAGTGATGGGAATTAAGAATGCAAAGTATAATTGCGAATGCAAATTAAAGTATAGTTGTTTCTAAGGGGGAATTCTTGTAATCCGACTTAAAAAAATCAATTTTTTTTTTTCTTTACATTTTCTCAAAGTATACGCTTTCAAAAATGTCCGTGTAAAAGGATTTGGATATTTAAATTGAAGTATAGAAGCATTGTACAATGGGGAACGAAAACTTCAAACGCGTTTTTCTCGAAATCGTGCTTTTTGAACTTGCCAGAGGGATATCTCGCATTTTAGTTCATCAATCGACTCGAAATTTGGATGGAATCTTCACAGGATGTGCCTTCGTCGCGTGCATTGTGCATTTCAAAGAATCCACTTTTTTAATCATTTTTGTTCTATTTTTGTTTACCAGGTGAAGGACGGAAAGTAGGAGGAAAATCGATATTTGAACTTCAAAACGCTGTCATTTTTTTAATTTTCGAAATTTCGCTGTTTCCATGGTTCATGCTATAGACGTATGTATACTAATTAAGATGCTTTTTAGTTTTTTCGTTTCGGCTAACCGGATGGTCCGGAATCGTGTCAGCCATTCGAGCCCGTTTTTAAAATCACGATCCTACTTAAGGCTATATAATTTCCACAATTTTTAATAATTTCGTTAAAAAAAAATTGAGAATATTCTTCAAGTATTAATAAATCTGTGTGCGAAAACTGCATACTAAAATTTATCATGGTTTCCTTAGAAAAAAATCTCAAAGACGTCAATTTTTATTAGCCGGATTACAAGAATTCGCCTTTATATTGCTCGAGTCCCGTTGATTTCAATTTCCAATTTACTCATAAAATCATCGAATCGAATGAACTAATTGTTCAGCGATGTATACGATACCTCTGAATAACTAGAATCATATTAAATTTTCTTTGCCTCTATTTTTCTCGTTTCCCCATTTTATTCCAATATTGTCTCGCATGATATCCTCTTTCATTGAATGAAATGTTCATCATCGATGAATAGGTTTGTATGTTATCTGAAAAAGTTTTTTGCGAGTTGGGAATTTATTAGAATTCATATAAACGTGAATCAGATATGTTCGTGTCATAATAAAGAAATTTTTTCGTCAACATCGTTGAATTTTCTGCTCTCGATTAAATTCCTATACGAATCGATCACAGGCATGATGGAAAAATTGTGCAAGCAATAAAGAACAATGCTAGGTTATTTGGTGAATGTGTTATGCATGTGTTATGATTGTGTTTGACGTGTGGAAAAAGAAAATCTTTGCTTCGATGATAAATGGAAAGAAATTACGCAATCTCGATACCAGTGTATACACTTATAGTTATTTCGAGAATTGGTGAATATAGATACGTGGAATTTAGTATCGACAATTTATAACACTCTATTAAATTTGTAACAAAAATCAAAAAGGATCAAACTTTGTTTGTGCTTATAACGTTAATAAAAATTCCTTGTTGAACATAATGGAATTTGGAATTGGATATAAAGGAGTCCCAAAATTCACGCAAGATTTGAATTTTGCGCCATTTTTGTGGTAAAGCGTTGTCAACGAAGTATAAAAACAGTGTGGCAGTTGTGATGACAGCAGTGTGACATCACACAAGAATAATATTTTTCAATTATGGAGAAATATTTTACAGGTAATTAAGGTTTATTTTTCTCCTATCAAAATTATTTGTTGCGTGGATTTTGGGACACCCCTTACGTATGAAAATGACAGAATTGAAATTTCTAATCAAAATTCATTTCGTGAAACAATTTCCTGCTACGTACTTCTACACGAGTTTACTAATTTTTATGTATTTCCTAACTTCAAATATTCCAAAATGTTATTCTCGTTATTATCCAAGTATGCAGACCAGTACGTGGTTTTTAAAAAATCCAATTTCCTTTTTATTGTCTTAAAAAATTCTCATTCATTTGTTGAGTTGAATGCAGCAAACCCGGAATTGGAAAAATTCCTTTGTTGCGTATTGACTCTGGCTGATACGCAATCATTTTCGCCAAACAAATGTTTAACCACAATTTTCTCAGAACGCTGCTTCTGGCTATGATGGACAGCATAGCGAAAGAACCTCGGTTCCAATCATTGTGAAATTTTTTGAGCATGTGTCCAAGACATGCGGCTCTCACGCTAACTACCGTCAGAAAATCCAAAAATTCGGAGAATTTTTCAAAAAAATTGTTTCTTAGGAACAATTTGTCTCTTCCTATTATCTCCAACTTCGTGATTTTTCTTTGAACTTGTTCGAAGCTCTAAATTTGTTAACAGTGGTCAGTGCGATAGCCATATTGTTTGCCATCACTCGCCATATTTTTTCACCCTTTACAGATATTTTCTCCGCGCTGTATCCTGCCCACCATCGAGATCCGCTCTATTTTGGAGATGGTTAATTCAAAAATTTTTTCCGGCCATTTCTATCGCGATATCTTCTATCTCAATTTTTTTATGGGTAGTTTAAAGTTGAAAGTACAGTCTGTGAAAGATTCATATGGCTATCTTCTTCCCAACATTTTCTATGAATTTTTAAAGAATGGTTATGATAGAGTTTACGTCACAGTCTGCTCTCTTAATAGCGCGTGTATATTATATCCTAATGATTGTATTATCATTGTATTTTAATCAAGTGCGTGTATCACTTGACTATAACAGTTTGTATATCCTTCTAATATTTTAATCTTCCAAATCAAACTAAAATATGGACACTGTTTCCATGAAACGTTTCAACCGTGTGTGCTATCCTTGAAGTTCTAGTTACTGACAGATGGCGTTGATTGTCAAAACATAGATGCCCTTAAAATGTCAAGAGGTATATTCTTGACCCAAATACCCTATTGCACTGCTATTCAATTACGAAAAATTATATATGGAAGTAGTATTTAATTTTAATTGCCCACTATGTATCTATATTCCATGGACGATAAGACTGGATAAAAATTTGAGAAATTCTAGAAATTCTGTGCACGTTGGAACGTGTGAAATACAATTATGGTCGCATGATTAGTATAGCTTATGATCTCGAAACTTGACAAGAAGAATTCCTGACGAGTTAGACACGTCATTGTAGTGCAAAGGGTTAATCGCACTGTCGATAATTTACTCAAAGCAAAGGAGTTCTTTATCCCCAGACTCTGGCCTCGTATTAGGGTTCACCAACTGGAGGAAAGTACAATTAAGATGAATAAGGTAGATGAAACACCCTGTACAATAGGTAATCGGACACATATCGGTTGCAGGGCTGTGGATAAGTGACACATCCGTGGCCAGTAATGGAAACGATATGGTATCCTATCTAACCGGACCGATAATGATTGGGATGACACTTGGAGATACCGTGGCTGAAAAATTATTGGCTCCCCGTAGATCTTTATTACCAGCTGGGTTATTTCTTGCCGGCGTCTTGTAATTGAATCGGTCACTACAACGTTGTTTATTCCAAGTGCAAATGTACTATATTCTTAACATAAATGACAGAACAAGAAAGACACGAGAATATATAGAAATAATTTCGTTGAATGTCACTTTAAATTTTGTGTAAAAATATATTCTATGATTTTCCAGTTTGGGATCTCGATAAATTTAAATGTGACATCAAGATGAATATCGTTTATAAATTTTTATCTATACAAATAGCTACTCCTTTTCAGATATCAGATACATTTTTGTATCTGACAGTAGTTGAGTCTTAGACGACTTACATATTACCCCAAATTAATCGTTTCATTACTCAAGAAGTTTTATCAGGGAAATACAAATTCCACGTGAAATGTATGTTCTTGCGAGAGAAGGATCGTATCAAATTCTTTCGTAACGTTCTTCCTTAATTTCCAGAGTGCTAGCAGCAGTAACAACAGTGCCGGAGGCATCAATCTGGGACCAGTGGTTGGAGGTCGGCGGCCACCCTCGCAGCAATCGTTTCACTCGTCGAAGAACCATTCCCATCATTCTCGACATCAGACCACGTCCGCGCCGCCATCAACACCACGGAACGCTTGTCAGCTACCCGAAATAGGCAGTCGCTGTATACGTATGTATACGTGTATATTTAATAGCATATAGGGTGACCCAATTTTTCCGACCACATTCCATCGGTGTCTTCTCTGAGTATAAATTGGAATAGTCACTTATATTTTCTCGGTATAAACTGGAATAGTGACTTATATTTTCTCAGTATGAACTGGAATATTGACTAATAATAAATATACTATCCACACATTTTTAAAAATCCTTGTTTTCGACTTATTTTTGTATGTAAAATCACAATCTACTCCATGACATTGCTCGTTCGGTGACACTCTGTATAAATCGAGGTCATTCGAAATTTTAGTAAAAATTAATATAACGAAGTTATAAAATAGCACTGGACTTATGGTTATAGTGATATAGGGTGTCCCAAAATTCACGCAAGATTTGAATTTTTGTGAAATTCGCGCGATAATGTGTTTTCAACGAAAAAGAACAGACAACGTGACAGCTGACTTCAGGATTATTAAGAATAGAGTGCTATATCAAAGAACAACACGTGTTGATTGTTGAGCAATATTTACAATTTTTAATTAAAATCCTGGGTTTTCTATTAAAATTACTTCTTGCGTGAATTTTGGGACACCCAATAGTAAAATATGATCATTAATATTCACGATAGTAAATATGATACCTATTCGTGATTATTGCAAAATCACTTTAGAAAGAGAGCATGGTAAACATAAATTATTATTTTCTCGGATAAAACGAAATTAAAATGAAGAAGAACGAGCAATAAATTCTAAAAGTATAGTAATTGATGTTTATATAATACATTTTGAAATTGACTTGTGTTTATACCACGCCTGTTTTCCTATTTATATATACAGGATGAATATTATTGATGAAATTTAATAAAAAAGATATTGGGACACCCTATATTTGTAAATACATATAGGTATATACCTTGAGTTTGTAGTCATATGCTACAACTTTTAGCCAGTTCGGTACCTCGATAACCTGATACATAATACTCAACGTCATCTATCACGGTTTTCCCGCGTTTAATGCATCACGTGATACCCATGACTGATCTGCGTGCTTCATTCTATTTTTGATGCAACTAGTGGCTTTTCCGTTCGCCATTAATAATTTAGCAACCAGCCACTTGACAGAGTGATCGATAAATATTTGAAAAAGTACACAAATTTGAAATATCTGGTACAGAGAATGTGAAAATATTAAGGAGAGCTTCTGGTATGTGTAAATTTAAATGATCTTAAAATCAGATACATTCGTCCTTTTAATTTCTCTATTAATTTGTACATCATAGATCCTAATAATTAGACTATGCAACGAATTTACTTATCCCGATAAACGAAAAGTGAAAAGGGAGAATTAATAATAAGAAATTGAAATCCACCTATTTGTCAAATTTAAACTTATTTCAAAAACTTAAACTTAAATTTTAAAAATTTAAATTTATTTTAGGAACTTAAACTTAAATTTTAAAAATTTAAATTCACTTTAAAAACTTAAACTTAAATTTTAAAAATTTAAATTTATTTTAAAAACTTAAACTTAAATTTAAAAAATTTAAATTTATTTTAAAAACTTAAATTTAAACTTATTTTAAAAATTTAAATTTATTTTAAAAACTTAAACTTAAATTTTATAAATTTAAAATACTTTTGATAGTTTCAATTGCATTTGGATACGTTGAACGTCTCTAACTGCTAGATGTAAACCTTTAAGCTGGATGACAATTTAATCAGGTTAACAAAATTCATTAATAGTAATGCAGCCATCTGTTTCCATCGTCGGGTTTTAGCAAAAGGAACTAACCTGCCTGCAAAAGCAAGCTCGCACCGTGTCATTAACAAACTAAGAATTTAATTAAGTACTCGACTCTAACTTGTATATCGTTTTGAAAATATAAATTGCGATTCAGTCAAGTATATTAATTCTTCAATAAACTGCTGACACCGTAACGAAGAGAGGCAAATGATGAGATGAACCTAAATCTACCAGTGAAGTGACAAAACTACTTTAATTATTATTTACACATATGAGTCTGTTTGTATATTTGTATATTTTTATTTTTATTTTTCTTTGTTACCATTAATTTTATACCCACTGTAATAATTTTCTTATAATACTTCTAATGGGTTAATCCCGTATAAATAATAAATAAATAAATAAATAATTATTTAATTATGAAATGGAAAATGTTTAAGAAGAATATTCCAGGACATTGGAAAGGGTATTATACTCACTAGATCTCAATATTGGTTATCGATAGCTGATCTAACTGATCAACTTTTAATGGCCACAAAAAGTTTGTAAATTTTCTATTCCTATTTTCAACTAATATCCTGTTGAGCAAAAAAATTTGCATAAATAGAGGAAGAAAATTCAATAGATCAGCTATCGACATCCAATAACAAGACCTACTGATTTCAATATTAAAAAATCATTTTGAATAAATAAAATAATAAATAAAAATATTAGATTTTGAATAAAACATAAGGAATCAATTCTACAAAATTTTTGAGGACTGTGAAAAAGCCTGAATTTTCTTCCTTTATTTATGCAATTTTATTTTCTCTGATATACTGATTGCTTACAAATGAATTTGTATTATATATTACTAGATTTCATTTCACAAGAAAATAAATATAGACACAATGATCATTTACTAAATTCTTAATTAAGATTAAAAATCTAAGAATTTTCTATTGATATTTTTGACTAATATCGATCTAGAAGGAATTCCATGAAAAGAGATTTTATGGCAAATGACACGGATTTAGCTGAGACCGGAGCTAGGCTAGAGATGAGAACAAAGATCAAGCAACTGGGATACAGTGAAAACTCTTCATACACGTGAGGGCACACATGTATTATGTAGACTTGGAGTGATTTGTTGCTGAACTCAACAAAGGTACGACTCACTTCGACCCCTGAATAGGGGTAGGAATTTGTATAAGAGGTACTACTCGTGAAAAATGCAATGTGCTAAAAATTAATCACCTTTAAAAAGAAATTTCAAAAAATCTGAAACAGAGAGAATTTTAGTTAGATGGAACGAATTTAACAGAGGTTGTTTCAATACGTTGCGAACAAAGACCAACCAGTACAGGAGGATTATATTTTCCACTGTTTTATCTCATCAGTGGAGTTACAGATTCGCATAAAGCTTGTATGCTGAAATGAAATGAATTTTATTAAATCCTAATTAAATTGCCGTCAAAAGACACCATTACAACGTAGAAACAATGCGTTTAGGTCAGTGAATATATTTTTATGGATATTTCTATGAAGAGAGGTATCCAGGAATTTTTGTCGATTCCACGTTGGCTCGGAATACCGCAAATTCGCGATTAATTCGGGCAACATTGAGAAACTATCTAAATCTCGTGAAAAATAAAACGGAAGAATTCTTTTCAAAGAATTTTTCGATATCGTTAACATAACTTTCCTACGTTATTACTGCCTTTTTAAATTTAATATTAATTCTCGTAGAAACTATATATACCACATTTTAACCCTTCAACGTTATTATTTCCTGCTTAAATTTAATATTAATATCCTTAGAAACGACACGTACCATACCTGTCCTAACCTCTAATTAGAGACTCTAATAAAATATTAATTAATAAATGGAGTTTACAAGAATTATCGTTTATGTCATTTACAAAATGACCGAAAGTTTCACATGTATACATATTTACGTATGATAGTCTGATTAAAATGGAAATAAAATAATATTTGCAGTGAGACATCGCCTACGCCAATGCAGAAAACTTTGCAGAGTATACCGTAATACTACGTAACTTTCAACGAACATCGATAAGATTGCTCGAATTGGCTCCGGTTTTAAAGGTTATACCACACTCACGATAATCCTCTTGCATGATTGGCGCGAGGAACCCGAAACGGAAAGTTAGATTACCCAAAAATATTCGATAACGTGATTGCAGACATTTTATGTTATCCTCTTTCCTTGCACTACCTTCTCTTTCTGTTACAGACATCAGGTCGTCGTCGAGGAATCTCGTGTCCACGAGGAATCAGCAGAGCATTACGAAGATGTTGCTCCTGATTAGCACCGTCTTCATCCTCCTCAATTTACCGAGGTAAATTAGGTTATGTATTTAAAACTGTGGCATTCGGAGATTTAGACTGTTGATTAAAATATAATGAAGATATGTTGCAAAGAAGATAAAATATATTTCAAATATTCGAGACTGCAAGGAAGAAACACGAGTTGCATGAAATTATCGAAAGAGATTGCAAAATAGAGAAAGAGAAAGTAATGGTGTAAGTACTCACATAGAATTTGTCAAGCTTAGAAAAATACATTATGAAAAAGGAAAGAGACTCCGATTTATATATACAGAGATCATTTTGCTTAATTTAACTTTGTATGGTTTTGAAAAATTTCGCTTGATAATTGTACATTCCATTCGCAATAACTCGAATAGTGTGCACATTTGAGCTTTCTTTAAATAATTGCAAACACATATTTCGAGATATTAAAATTTCCAATTTGTCACTTGTAATGTTCATAATTCTATATAAGCCAATTAATGTCTGAGAATATTTACTTCTTCTACTTACAAAGCTTAAGGACATATTCCTGTAATCCGGTTTAAGAAAATCAACTTTTTCTTTACATTTACTCAAAGTATATACTTTCAGAAATATCCATGCAAAAGATTTGGTCGGCCATTCGAACCCGTTTTTAAAAACACGATTCACCTAAGGCTGTATAATTTCCACGATTTTTAATAATTTAGTTAAAAAAAAAATTGGAAAGAAGTCTCAAAGAAGTCGACTTTTATTGATAGGATTACAAGAATACTCCATAAATTTGTAAAAGATACTAAATTTAATTTATCAACGTACGAACATTTGTTTTCCAGTTACGTGATTCGGTTGTGCGTATTCTTCTTCACTCTGGCCCACAAGAACACACCCGATCTACTCTGGTGTTTACAACAATTTTTCATGCTTCTTTACTACACCAACTTCAGTATCAACTTTCTGTTATACGCCATGTGCGGCATCACGTTCCGGCGTTGCCTGCAACAATTGCTGCGCAAGGTACTGAAAAGTATGACTAGATACCATTGCAATTCGCAGCAGTATATATAGGTGTTCCGAAAACAATATCGAAGATACCGTGACAACTGCGGTCACGCAGCACCTGAATCTGTGATCAGATTGGACGATCTCGTTTCGGAACACGCAATACGTCTAGCAGTGACGCGGGACTATCATGGCGGCGGGTCACGTGATCACAAGTTCGCGAACGCTGCACCTACGTTTCAACGACAGTTCCCGCGTAAAAGGGATCACGTTCGTCTCGTTTGTAACGTTGATCGCGAGTTGGAATCGAAAGTACCTCGAACGTGACTTTCACGGTCCATTTCACTTTACTGTCGGCTTGCATGATCGCGAGGAAAACAATGTGCGTTGTTGGCAACGATTGAGCAATCCCGATTCGATGGAACGATTTTTCCACTGTCTACTTCGGAACAGAAAATAATTGGAGAGACGTGAGAGACGAAGAATCAGAGGTAAGAAGATTCGTGGTTATGTAACGTTTGGTAATTTAGTAAAAATTGGAAACGTGTGTCAATATTATGGGAATTGCGAGAGAGGTTATTTTATGGATTATTATATATTATTATGGATTGATTATGTTAAATAGAATGATAATCGAAGATTGGAAACAGACATTTGATGTATGGTTAGTTGTGAAAATTTAGATAAGTGAAAGGAAAGGTGAACTTGTTGATTGTACTGATCGTAATGGAATTATAAAAGGAATTGTGTGCATCGTGATACTCCATAAACGAAGACGTTCTACATAACTATCTTTTATACCAATTATCTCTCATTATCGAAACCAAGGAAGAGAAATAAATTTCAAAGTTCGTATAAAATTCATTAACTTTTTAAAATCATTTTTATTATTGAAGATCCTATTTATTTGAACATTATTTTGAACGTTGCCATTTTTTACAGTTTCACCTATGTTTAAAAGATATATTCAAAATGATTTTATTTTGCCAGTGCACGAAGTTTAAGTGTTTATAACCTTTTAAAAAATAGTGAAAGTCTTAATTGCAAGTTTGTAAATCGTCGAGGGACATTTTCTGAACATATTGTACAGTATAAGCAATGACAGAAGCACAATGAAAGAAAGTGTTTGAATTTTGATATTTCGATTGGACCACTTTAATTTAAATCACGATTTATTCGCGTTAGTATATAGCGTGTGCAACAAATATTAGTGTATAGTTAACCTATAAAGTGAAACTTGGCGTAATTAATAATTTAAAAGCAAGGAAAATAATGTTACCGTAGAAAAATAATACGAAGAACGTCAATGTCTATTTTCATGAGATTCTGCATGTTCGTAGATTTAACAAAACTGGGAAATCCGCAGACGCTTAACTTATGCTATTTGATTCCATTACTGTTATAAATGTAACGTCACGTCACGCGTAAAACGCTGGACGTAAATTAAATTCTTAAATTCGATATGTGTATGTCATATATATAAGGAGTTTCAAAATCATGGGACGAATCAAAGTATGCGAATTTCCTTGCGATAAAGGGAATCGAAATCGAAAATTCGTTTATTTATTTCTCAATCTGCGGCTTTGTTTTCTACTGTCCCATTAATTACACAAATTATATAGATACGTAACCTCGCGTTTTATTTTTTATATTCAGCCGTAAGAATCATTTTCATTTTTTTAAACGAAATAGCACACTCTTTTTAGAACTTGGTGTAAAAGGAATATGTACTGTAAATAATTTAATAATTGTAGAATTTAGATGTTAATGTTACAAATACTTTTAAATATAAGACACTTAAAAAATTGAAAATGATCTATTTTAATCACCTTATCCTCATAGTCGCCTAAATTTCGAAACACCAATTTCCTCTATTTCGAAAATGAAGCCACAAATTGTTAAACGAAGTCACAAATTTCGAAACACCAATTTCCTCTATTTCGAAAATGAAGTCAACACGCTGAAATATTTTCCCTTTGTGATCAATTTATTTATCAGTTTATATTATTTATTATAATATTATTTCTCGGTTTATTCCAAGACTATCTATCCCGTGAACACGATTTAATTAGAATCGGTTTAGCGTTGAATAATTTAAATAAAATTGTATAGAGAATTTTAAAATTACTAAAAAGTCTAGTGAATTTTAAAAAGACACGAAAGTTCCTAGGGAAATTTTTAGTTACAATAGTAGATTCATTATTGAAAAGTACGTTTTATAGATAAAGCTTAAATACAATATATTTGTCGTTAATAGAAATATTTATAAGAAATATTTATAATACGGCGTTTTCGTTTATTAGTTCAGTTCTCTAACGTTATTGCGCATGCGTAATGCTATCATAGCGTCAATGGAGGGAAAGTCAACAATCGTTCGTTGGAAATGCTCAAAGTCGAAGAAAATTTAATTTTCTCTTGGAAAAAACGCAAAAGCTAACAAAGTTGACAGAGCTTGAATTCATTTTGCTTTCTAATTGCAATTTTCCCTTTTAATTTGATAGCTTTCTTCGATATTACTGCTCTGCAAATTTTTCCTTTCATGAAAGTGACAATAGGTAATTAAAAGGTAAATATGGCGTCTCTCAAGACAGTAATTTCATATTGAAAATACACTATCGAATTAAAAGTAGTACAGGGTATTACTTAATTAAATGCAGGAAATTGCAAAAACGAATTGGAAAATTAATTTAACGTTTTAATACATGTAATAAATTATTAAAAATGTCTGATAGGAAATGAACATTGCTATTATTGCGAATACAGAATGTTTACGAATTTTATTTATTACAATTTTCTTAATTACTCGAGAAACGAATATAGGTTTTATCGACGTTAATAAGCTTTGGCAAAAATTATCACGTGACATTCCTCGTTATCCAAAATTGCTTTTTTTTCGTCTTTTATTTAAGGGGAATATTTTTATTTGAATGATACTTGTTAGAAAACAACTTAATAAATATTTTTCTATTTCAACTAACGAAAAAAGGAAATATAATAATTTTTGTTTTATTATCCTAACGATACTTTGATTATTATTAATTAATTATACCCAAGATTTTTTAACGATCTTTTCAGTTAGGATTTATTTATTTCAATCTTTTACGAGTTTCTTAACCCATTGTATATTTCTTATTATGGTTGCAGTATACCACGTAATAGTGAAATTGCTGTTTCAATGTCCCTTTGATGTTTTAATAAATACACACGATCCTTCTTGAAATTTTCATGGTTGATACCTACTGGTAATACTATAATATTATTTTTGATATCATTGGCGTAGGAATAGAGTCACAATTTCGTACAAAAGGGTTGTTTATAAACGCATGCAAATGAAACGTTATTTAATTTCCTTAAATTTAACGAATATTATAAATTATTTATATACCAAGTAAGTACTTTTTAAGTAGTATTTATAGCCATTATTTGAATATGCGTAATTTAAATCACGATATGGGTAATTGTTTGTACATTTCTGTTAATTTGTTTTAATCGTGTCAACAACAAGAGATGGGAATCAACAAATTTCGTTACTTTTTATATTATATTCAACCTATTAAATCTTCTCATCGACAAATTTATCTTTACAAGTAAAGTCATACGAATAACTGTAATCTATTAATGTAATCAGGTTTCAATAAAAATTTGAAAAAGTATAAATCAGTGGATCAAATTTTGAAATATTTCTTATACATGTAAAGGGTTTGATGCCTTGTAATAAATTTTGAAAACGTTCTTTCAGGATGCTAATATTGTATTTTTAATAACAATTGAATTTCTTGGTCACAAATATTTTTATCATACTCCTTTTCCCGGCTGTTAAATGTTTAAACTTTCATTTTCCAATAAATCTCGCATGCACAAATGCTTTTATTTGTTGAAGTTATATATACACACATATAGTTAGAACTGAAATATATACATATATATATTTTCACATATGACGTTTAGTATTTAGTATTTTAATTTTAATATTTTCCTGTAATTCCAGTCTCATAAATTCGAAGCTAAGTTTAAACTTATTTAATTTCTTTAATTTAATTAATAATTTAATTGCACACATATAGCTAGAACTGAAATATACACATATATACATATTTTCACATATGACGTGATACATTTCGTATTTTAATTTTAATATTTTCCTGTAATTCCAGTCTCCTTATAAATTCGAAGCTAAGTTTAAATTTACTTAATTTCTTTAATTTAATTAATAATTTAATTGCACACATATAGCTAGAACTGAAATATATACATATATACATATTTTCACATATGACGTGATACATTTCGTATTTTAATTTTAATATTTTCCTGTAATTCCAGTCTCCTCATAAATTCGAAGCTAATTTTAAATTTACTAAATTTCTTTAATTTAATTTAGTTAAATTTGGTTAATTTGTTCAATTTGTTGCTGCTTATAGCAGCAGAATAACAATTTGTCATTGAATCTCTTTTCTAAGATTTTTCTTAAAGATCTTGAATGATCTGTATATGTTCCCATACCTGGGAACAAAAATACAAGAGTATACTATTCAGTCCTTTGAAATACGAAGTTTCTTACTAGAAAACACTTCATTGTTCGTCATTTCTAACGTATAGAATAAACTATATCGAAGATCCGAGGTGCATCCTAGCTTTGACTCTTCTCCTGTTTGCATTTACCTTTGTGCCCGTCTTTCAAAGCAATTGACGTCCCAAACGTAAACTCGAGTTGAGATTGCGCTTCGACCTAAACAATTTTTCAATTCTGACCTGTTGTAAGTCGAATCGAGGGTGTTTTTGGAAACGTCGGTTCAGGTGTTCCCGTTCTCACAGATTGGCATCTACTGCAATCGGTTTCCTTTCCACGGTTTCTTATCGGAAAAGCACTGCTGATGATAACATTTGGTAACAGTTCAACCGAAACGCAGAATTTCCTCGCGGATTCCAAACGAGTTTCGGGGAATTACGGAGAGCCACGGAAATTGAGATTTCTTATCGAGCTTCAAGCGGATTTAGGTATGAATTTATAATACGAAAAATTCAGTCGACAGAATTTAAGAAGAAAATATACCATGACAAATAGGGGCTGCAATCGATACAGTCGAAATCCTTGCATAAATTAACCCTTTGTACTTATTTTGGTTACAGAGAAATAGCAATTCAATGACTTTCTGCTGTAACGTAGAGGATATTTTTGAAATGGTAAATAAAGAATCGGGTATAAATTAAGACTTAAAATTATTGTATTTCGATATTCCATGCAATCTTAGGTTAGTTTAGATTTAATATGTTAATTAATATATGTCTTCCGAATTTGATTAAACGGTGACTTAGGCTCACCTCTCGATGCAAAGGGTTAATTGTTTCAGAAGATAGGCACGAGAATAAACATGGAGGCAAATAACTTGGAAGGTAGCTTGATATTTCAAACGGGAGATCAGATAAACACTAAATAATCGAAAGAAAGGCATTCGCATTTAGAAACTCGAAACCGTTTTTAAAAACACGATTTAATAAGGCTATATAATTTCCACGATTTTCAATAATTTCGTTAAAAAAAAATTGCAAATCTTCTTCGAGTTATAATACGAAAAATTCAGTGGACAGAAATTAAGAAGAAAATACGCCTGACAAATAAAGGCTGAAATTGATACAGTCGAAATCCTTGCATAAATTAATTGTTTCAGAAGATATGAACGAGAATATATATGGAGGCAAATAACTTGGAAGGTAACTTGATATTTCAAACGGGAGATCAGATAAACACTAAATAATCGAAAGAAAAGCATTTGCATTTAGAAACTCGAAACCGTTTTTAAAAACACGATTTAATAAGGCTATATAATTTCCACGATTTTCAATAATTTCGTTAAAAAAAAATTGCAAATCTTCTTCAAATATAAATAAATCCATGTATGGAAACTGCATGTGAATATGTATCGTGGTTTCCTCGGAAGAAAATCCCAAAGACGTCGATTTTTATTAGCCAGATTACAAGAATAATCCTTAATTTGAAATTATAATGAAACAGATTCTGAAGAAAATTAACCGAATAATTTTTTATTGTTTTTACGTGCGTGTAAGATACCTTTTCAAGTGTTAATAAGAAAATCGAATAATTTTTAAGCTCTGGTGTATAGATATATACGACGAATGTGGGTCACAGCGACATAGGGTATGTAGCAGTGCAAGGTATCCGTGGATTGTAGATACAGGATGAGTGACGTGTACTTGAAAAGTGAAGAAAAGAGAGATCGAATGTTACATTAGAAGTCGGATATTAAATATCAATTCTGAGTGAAGAATAATTTTAAAAATTTGTTGGGAAATTGAGTTTTACAACGCTATTCGAGATTCCAGTGCATAGTAACACGTGAAAGAATTGGATACTATAATGAATACTAGAACTATCAACCCAGTGAAAATTACTGGTCCCAGAATTTTCCTTTTTGCAATCACCGAACACATACACCTGCTTTAAGAATAAAATCGGTATCAACTCGTGTTAAGAAAGAACTGTAATCAATGTATTCACTCATATTCATCGTACCCCTGAAATTACTATAACCTTTGCACGTTATAGTTAGGTACCCCAAAAACCGACCCCTGGAAGTCCAAGTCGGTATTGGCCTGCAACCTCTAACAGGCCTGTCATCGTCGTTGCATGAGTAGCTAACTTCCAACAACAATGTTAACAAAAATAATTAATAAAATAATACGATTGTCGATATTAAGTTGATATTATATCTTCCTAATCTTGGTCCTAGCTTTCCAAGCATTTAATAATGCATTTTTATCGAACTATATTTTCCAACTAATGAATCAGCTTTAACGAATCTTTTTTCTCAAGAGAAAAGTACCCTCGAGTTTCCTTTTTAATTAAGATAAGAATATAAAGAGCTTGTTTTTAAGAAGAATAAAGCGATGGATTATTTTATTTTTTCCTCACTATGATTGTATCTTCCATTATTTCGTGCTCGTTTGTCTGCCTAAATTCATGCAACGAATCGAAAAACGTCGAGTGTAAAATAGCTGTTTCTGTGATAGAAACTGATGTCGAGTCACACTCGGTAGAGAAAAACAGGATTTCGAAGTTTCTTTGTCATAAGGTCGACGATATTTTTTGAAATAGTAAAAAGGTAAAATATAAATAATAATAGCAATGGTAATATGTAAAAGTAAAATAAAAAATAGTAAAATATATAAATTAACACGCAGTAAATTATAACACGTAGTACAGGTAGCCCTTCTACAACACGGCATCCTATAACACGGTTTCGCTATAGCACGATTCATAATTTGCGGGAACCCCCCCTACAACACGGTTTCGCTCTAACATAGAACGATAATAAAATAAGAAAATTGCAAAAACTTTTGTACAACACTTGCAATGACGACAAAGAAATTTATTAAATTAAAGTTGCGTTAAATTAAAATAATATTTTTGTTTCTTTTTTTTTTGTTTTTGTGTTGTACATACGTTTATATTTTTAATAAAAATTAAATTATTTATGTGGAATTAACCTTTTGCACTTGAGAGGTGTCTCTCAGTCGCCATTTAATCAGATTCTAAAGATGGATGTTAATTAATATATCAAATTTACAATTACCCAATGTGTGGAATATCGAAGCAAAATAATTTTAATTAGTCTTAATTTGCATTCGACTTCTGATTTGCCGTTTTAAAAATATCGTCCACTTTATGGCAGAGAGTCTTCGAATTACTATTTTTCCCTAACCTCTCTTTTTGTACTGGCTCTAGGTCTCATATAACACGGCATTTTCTAGAAACCTATCTATCGTGTCATAAGAGGGTTACCAGTATATGTAAATTATTTCGATATTTCACGAGTCATTGCGTTATTTTAAATTCCATATGTCAATTAACGTCGATCTTCGGAATTTTGTTAAATCGTCACTGGAGGACGCTTCTCGAGTACAAAGGGTTAACAAGAGCCTGTTGCGTATCTTTTGAAACAGAGAAAGCTTCGAGTTAATCTTCAGCATTGACAGGTATCGAATGAAAAATCATAAATAATCGTATCGCAGGTTACCCAATAGCTAAACATGGATCAACAGATCAGAAATGCTCGTGCGAAAGGCAAGCGTGGTCGTTGACGGACGTTTGACCATAGAACGTGAGTTGAATAGAGTTCAATCTTAGTTCGTCACATTCATTGGCGATTTTGGATCGTGTCGCAAACGCAAGGACGTTCAGAATTGGAATGAAAGACGTAAACGTGGGACTCGATGACTGGGATGAAGTTCGCGAAAGCATGGATTAATAATGCCTTTGGCAGATTATGATTAAAGAGTAGAGGAGGTCGTAATTAAAGGTTAAGATTCGTGCGTGTGTTAAGCTTCTCACTGCAATTTGCACAGAATATAATGAACTGGCGATTATTCGTTATATTATTACCAATTTCGACATTATGCAACGATGTTTGTTATCACTAGAGATGTTTCGCCAAGTGTCACAATGACAATGATACCTGCGGACAAGTCCGATATTAATCCGATATATTACGAAATAATTGCAGAAATTCCTGCAAACGAGTGGACCAACTGTTCCCCCATTTCAAGCAGAAATTTGCAAATTATGTAGTTCACGCGACAGTGATATATCTCGTGAAGATGGTTAAACGTTAACCGATTCGTGTGAAAGCTTGCTCATGGCGTGAAACTGTCCCGAATCCAATAAAAACGAATAAACTGGATAGCAAACACGTCTTGCAAATAGCTGGTAACACGACCAGCTGTAGGATAGTCAAATTGCTGGCGAGCTTGCAAAAGAAAAATTCTATAGTTGTTAACATTCCTAGCAAAACGAATTTCTCGTGAAGGATCGAGCGATACAATGGCTAATGAAATGAGTCCAGCAATTGAGTTCTACAACCATGTCAATGGTAGCTGCCGCAGTGTGCGAGTATTTGAGTCGAATCGAGTTTTAAAGCAATACTACTAAATGCTGGTACAAAAAGGATCAACATTTTCTCGTGCTTATTTCTTCTTTCATCGAAACATAATTCTCAGAATTCCCCTTTTTCATACCACGCTTCATCAGCCATGGGATTACCGTGTCTAGGAAGATTGTTGGAACGGTAGAACGAGAAGGAAGATCAACGATCACTGATTTTCTCACTGACATCTGGATAGTAGCGACGAAAGTTTCTGCGGTACGTGACTGTCTAGTCGAACGCGTGAAGGAATCCTGGTTAATCCTTGCTCTTCGGTATAAATCCGAGGTGGGATCAAAGTCGTACTTTCCGTGCGTCGCACTAAAAAGGGTGGATCACGAATAATCGATGTGAGAAAGCGTTCCTCGTATTCGCAGCTGTATGTATCCGTTAACTGCACGAAATCCAACAAAGTTAGGAGAAGCTGGCGATAGAAAGAATAAATATGATTGACGTTTAGAGATAAGTTGTTATACATGTTGAACAAATATTACGTTAGCGTAATGATGATGATTTACGTAGAAAATACATACCTATTATGATATATAATATAAATATTATACAGGTTTATCTTGTTTAACGAAGTTATTTATACAGGATGTCCCTGTAACGGTATAGAATCAGGAAGGGGTAATTCTGCGTGAAAAAGCAAATCGAAAATGAAGAATAAAATTTTTTCATTCGAAGCTTCGTTGTCGAGGAAATCGGCTTTGAATGTCCACTGAGTGCGCTGGTATACTGATGGTCCAGCCATTTTGTAAGCCAAAGTTAAATGGCGCGTACGCGGTGA